GAAACCGGCTTGTTCGGGAGGCTGGAAGTCGTCGATTCTGCGTGCGAGACGATTCGTAATGACTCTCGAAAACAGCACGTAGACGCGGCTCAGAAGCGAAATCGGTCTGTAGTTCTTCAAGAGAGTGTTGTCGCCTTTCTTAAAGAACAAGACCACCGCGCTTTTGCTCTACCCCTCCAGAGTAGTGCCACCACGGAGAACGGAATTGAAGAGCTTCTGAAGGACTTCAAGTACCGGTGTTCCACCCGTTATCAGAAGCTCCGCTGTAATTCCATCCTGTGCTGGAGAGCCATTCTAATCTTGCTCAGACTGACGTCCGGGATATCATCGGAATAGTGTCGGGTAAGACTTGCTCTTGGATCGTTACTCACACTTGCGTGTGGCTCCAACGATGATGTGTATAGCTGCCCATAGAACCTCTCTCAATCTCACTCAAAATCTCAGGTGTCCCGGAAACGATGCTGCCACACTCAGTCTTCAGCTTGACAGTTGGCTCTTTCTGGCAGACAGATCTCTGGCAAATACTTTGGAGCCCTGGTTCCGCTCGATCGCTTCTTTAATACGAGCAGTATTAAAGTTGCGTAAATCTCGCCGCATGCATTTGGAGATCTGTCTGTTCAGTTGCCTGTATGCTGTCAAATCTGTTGACGATTGCAGTCTCATCTCCCGTCTAACAGCCATGAGATTAAGAGTGTGATCGAAGAGTTTTTGCGTTCTTCTGCGGCGGGTCAAACACACAACCCAAAAAAGAGTTGCGCCTACTCCAAGTTTAAGAAAATTTCCCTAACTTCAGCTCACCGCTTTCTCTTGTTCCTAGTTTTCCGTTGAAGTCTCCCATCAACACCGTGTAGTGGGTTTTGGAGGAAAGCATGGCTCTAGAAAACTCCTCATACATTTCCTCCACCTCCTCATCGAGATGTGCCGAGGTTGGTGCGTAGACCTGTATGACCTTCAGCGAATACCGTTTGGTGATTCTTAGTATCAGGTACGCCACCCTCGTCGACACATTTCCTATCTTTACAACGTTGTTGACTAGAGACTTGTGGACGATAAATTCGACACCGGACAGATGGTCGCCCTCCCGGTGATAGAACAAGTTTCCGGACTCGAGGATTACCGTGTCCTCCCCCCTCTCTTCGGACCTCAGACAATCCAATAATATGCCAGCGCAACTTGTCTACCTCTTCTTCCAGCTCCAGTATCTTCTCGTCAGTCCTCAGGGTGCGTGCGTTATACGTTGCCAGGTCGAGTTGTCGTAGGTGGCAACCGAACCTCCACCGGAGTTTCTTAGCACCCCCTGCCCCACCGTTACCATGGAGGCCACCGTAGCCAGGAATAGCGGGGCCGCCGGGGACTGGGGGCCGTTTGTTTGCGTCGTTGCTCATGAGGGGATATTTGCCATAGTTGCCACGCTTGGCGAGGGGGTTGGCAACCGCAGTTTTTTATTATGTTATTGTTGTTATTAGGAAGATGCTACTGCCCATCTCCTTTCTGTGTCCCTCTGTCGCCTCTTACAACACCCACGGGAAGATATGGGGTAGTGGATATTCTCAACCGCCACTACACGGCAAGTTGGCAGTTAGATGAAGATAAATGTGAAATTATGTCAAACGTAACGTCTTTGTATAGATGTCAATGCTCAATGTCAGTCAAGTATCCGCGACCGTTGTCTGCATCGTGTTGTTAGTGAATTGTTTCGCTGTATTTAATTTGTGTTCACTTTTGTCCTTTTAAATAATGGAGTCCTTTTAAATAATAGGGGGTCATTGTAGAAGCGTGCTCGTCGCGACCCCTGCCAGCCCTTTTCAGGGCTGCAATTCTACACAGCTGCGCACCCATGCAAACGAGGGTTAGGGCGTCCCCCCAAGGCGACGCACACCAGCTCGTCCCCATTGGTGTGGAATGCAGCGCGCAAAGCGGCGATGGGGACCGCCACCCGTCACGCACAGCCCGACACGGCGGAAGGTGGAGGACGGAGTGCAGAGTTGGAACGTGGAATGTTAGAGGGGGCATGAGAGATAAGACGAATGAGTTGATCGAAATAATGAAAGAAAGAGGAATTAGATGTAGTGTGTATGTCGGAGACCAAACGGAAAGGCAGTGGTACTGAAGAGCTCCCTGGCGGGACGTTAGCTATATGGTCCGGAGTCCCGGAAAGCGAGAACGCCTGCCAGGGAGTGGGAGTGCTGTTGTCGTCCCGGTTGGTCGATCTTACGACTGAATACAAGGTTGTGAACTCAAGACTTCTCTGGGTTCGCTTCAAAATGGGACTGACGAAGTTATTCCTTTTGGCTGTTTATGCGCCGGTAGCTTCGTCGTCCAGGGCTGAGCTGGAGGAGTTTTGGGAGAATGTAAGAGAAGTTCTAGATTTGGTTAAGGGAAACGAAAGAACTGTTGTATGTGGTGATTTTAATGGATGGGTAGGTATCGCTCGACCAGGATACGAGTCGGTGCCTGGAAAGTTTGGCGATAAAAGGGTTAATGATGCTGGCAAGCTTATACTGGCTGTATGCAAGGAACAGGGTCTTCTTGCGACAAACACTATGATTAATACAGGAAAATCCATATGTACACTAGAGAAAGAAAGAATGAGAGAAGTATGATTGATTTGTTCCTGTTGGATGACCGACTGCGAAAACAGGTGATGGGTACACGAGTGTTCAGGGGTGCTGACCTGGGAACGGATCATTATCTAGTAATTACTATATTTAGGGGTTTGTTCGCGGGTTGGCGCTACCGGACGGCAGTAACACAACCACAGTCGGCCTGTCGCATCCGAAGCTGGAAGCTTCAGGAAGCGGATACTAGGGATAAATATCACACGAGGGTAGCCGAAAAGCTTGACACCATCGATGGCAGGAAAGAATGTGTGGAGAGAACATGGCAGAACCTTAGGGATGGAATGGTAAGTGCAGCGGAAGAAGTATGTGGTACGACAAAAAGAGGTAGTAGTAAAAGAAGAGATGCATGGTGGAATGATGAAGTGAGAGAAGCTGTAAAAAAAGAAGAAAAAAGCATGGTTAGACTACTTGGCCTCTAGTAACGATGAACATATGAGAGAGAAGATGAAAGAAAGATATAAGCTGCAGAAAGTTCATGCGAAAACATTGATTGAGGAAGTACGTGAAAGGTGTAGAATAGAAGCGGACGAGAGGTTGTCGCACAACTTTAGGGAAAACTCCAAACTCTTCTGGAAAGAGGTTGGAAGATCCCGGAGTGGTGCGACAGCCTTAAGAATGAACAAAATGCTTTCGAGAACCAATGACGTCATCTCAGAAAAATCGGACGTCATGCAGCGATGGAGTGAATTTTATAGAGAAATGTATGCGTGTCATGATCTTAGTGAAGGATCCGGGGGTGACGCCGTGACTGGCACGCCAGACACGGACCTCGATGACACTGAGGTCATCAGCATGAAAGAGATTGAACGTGCGATTCGAAGTTTGAAATGTGGTAAGGCTGCGGGACTAGACAGAGTTACTGCTGAAATGGTCAAGTACGGTGGGCCTCGCGTCTGGGACAGCTTCCATTTGCTGTGCAATTTGTGCTGGCGGACGGGAGATGTCCCGGATGATTGGCGATCCGGGGTCATTGTGCCTTTATATAAAGGTAAAGGTTCACATTTTGACTGCGGGTGCTATCGGGCGATCAGCTTGACCAGTTTAGCAAGTAAAGTTTACTCGAAGGTTTTGACACGTAGTAGGATGCAAGAGAAATCGGAAAGATTCTTATGGGAGGCACAATGCGTATTTAGACCTGGAAGAGGATGCACGGATCAAAAGTTTTCTCTCCGCATGATCACGGAGAAGCTTCTGAGTGTTAACCAGAGGATTTTATGTGCTTTTGTGGATCTGGAGAAAGCATTTGATAAGGTTATAAGGAAGAAAATGTGGGAACTCTTGCCGGGATATGGTGTGGACGGTCGATTGTTAAGGGCTGTGCAGTCACTTTACTATGACTGTAAAGCCTGTGTGCGGGTAGGGCATGACCTGTCACCCGTGTTTAGCATCCAAGCGGGCGTAAAACAGGGTTGTGTCAGTCTTCCTGGCTGTTCATACTGTATCTCGACAGCTGTTTACAGAAGCTGAAAAATAGCTGTTTGGGTGTGAAATTGGGTGACATTAAAGTAAATTGTCTGCTGTATGCTGATGATGCAGTGCTTATTGCACCATCAGAAGCAGAACTGCAGACATTAGTCACGTGTATGAAAGAGGAATGTGAAATTAAAGGCCTCCGTTTGAATGCTAATAAAACTAAGGTTCTGGTATTTGAAAAGGACGAAGAGAGAACGAAATGTGAAATATGGGTAAATCAGGAATATCTAGAACAGATAAATGAAATTGTATACTTGGTGAGTGCTTTCAGCCGGGATGGAAGATGTGATTTAGATGTGGATAGGCGTGTCGCTGCCGGAAACAAAGTCAATGGTGCCCTGAATGCATTAGTAAAAAGGCAAGGCGTGGTGAAGAGTGCACGCCTTGCAATACATAACGCAGTGTTGGTACCGACTTTGTTATATGGCAGCGAAACCTGGGTATGCCAGAAAGAGCATAAAAGCAAGTTGAATGCAGTGGAGATGCGATCTCTTCGTAAAATGTGTGGCGTTACCATAGCCGACCGAAAGCGAAACGAAGAGATTCGCAATATGGCAGGATTGAAAGATGACCTTATCACAAAAATTTATAGGGGCGTACTCCAATGGTTTGGGCACGTTGAACGAATGAGTGAAGACCGAATGGTGAAGAAAATATATAGAGCGAAAGTAAATATTAAAAGGTGTCGAGGTAGACCGAGACTAACTTTCGAAGACCATGTGAGCAAATTACTCGAAGAGGGGAGGGTCAAGAGTACTCGGATACCTAGACGTGCATGTATGAAGAAGTTAATGAACCTGAAAGAAGCGAAAGAGGTATGTAAGGATCGTGACACTTGGCGATCTGTTCTCTCCGGATACCCCGTTACGGATTGTGCGTGAAGATAAGTAAGTAAGTAAGTAAATAATGGAGTCGAAAGGAAATATTTCTCCTGAGAATCAAAAGTATCGTGCACGAGGGGAAAATTGGACCCAAGAGGAAAAGGTTAGTTACGCTTATGTACTATTCGTTTTAGGAAATTGGTCTAGTTTTTTAAGCCGCATGAGCTAATTATTAAGAATATATAATAATAACACTACTTACTTTGTTCTTTACGTTTTTAATTACTTAAATATTTACTACTTTCAGGATCTGTTTTTGGAAATAATGAGAGAGTCAGCGCCTATTATGGAGAGTAAATTTACCGATACTAATACAAATAAAAGAAAGAATCTGGAGTGGATTAGAGTACAAAAGAGGTAATTATGTGGTCAGACTGATTTGTTTAGTTAGGATAGATGTTGATCAAATAGATGATAAGACAATATTTTTCCGTTACACCAAAATATTTTTTAAGAAGGTTAAATTAATAATAAAATTGTTATTCTTTTTTATTGCAGTCTTAAAGAACTCACTGGGAAATCTAGAGATATCACCCAGTTAAAGGGTTTCTGGAGACGAACAAAAGTGGCTGCAAAGAAATCTGTGTCACAACTTAGAAGAGCTTTGCAAGCTACTGGTGGTGGACAAAGGCCAACATCTTCAGGTGATGATCACCTAAAGATAATGGAACTCTGCCCAACAGATTTTGTTATAGAAGAAAATCTTTATGACAGCGATGCGGTCCCACAACTACAAGTAAGTTTTTGAATTGTATGTACCAAATATAATGATGCAACTTTGCTTTATTAACTTTTATTTATTTACAAGGTGAAGTTATAGTTGTTGGAGGGACTGAAGAGCAAAACAACACATTATATGATATAGACGAGGCATGTATGAATATTATTAGTTTCAGATTAAATAGGTTATTACTCATTTTTTTTAAATAAATAAATAAATCTTTTCTTTCCAAAGGATGAAATTCTACCACCAGAGGAACCAGCTGTACAGCAAATGATTACAGTGGCAAATGTGCACAGCGAAGAGGTGATACCTGAAAAAAATGTGGTGCTTCATACTGTTATTTTTTTATAGGATAGGGTGACAAACGAGCAAACGGTCCAACTGATGGTAAGTGGTTAATATGGCCCATAGCTATCTACATCTATCCTCGTATGCGATTCATCAAACCCGTGAAGACTAAGATGGAATGCCTCTTTTCTAGCAAAAACGGTCTCCGGTTCTCTACACTCACTATACGAAACACAGCAGTATTAAGCTACTATCTAACGCTGGTATTCTGTGAGAGCGTAGTCCTTCCCCGGTTAAGCCGACCAATTCGTGCTACGATTATACTACTAATATAACTGCAGCATGCTCTACCACGTAGAACAAATAAAGTTATAATTTTTTTATTATTATTTATAATTATAAATAAAACTTAATGAAAATCATTATTTACTCAGATTGATATCAAGATCCCTGAATGCAGCAGAAAAACACAAATGGTGTTTCCTCCAAAGGTGGATAAAAAACAAAATAGAGAAAAGAAAACAAACAAGTTGTAAGTAGATTAATTGTATATAATTTTTATGATCTACTTTACTATATTTTCATGTTTTGTAAGTATCATTTAGTAAATGATTGACACTACCCTGTTGTATCTATGAACAACCATTATTAGGAGAATTATGAGGAAAAAGGCATGATTGTATGTATATAATAATATTTAATAAAAATAAATAAATGTATAAATCATTTATTTTCTCATAAATACCATACATTTTAATAACACACACATAATTAAACACAAAGAACATTAAAATGGTACTATCTACTTAGTAAATAGGTGCCTAACATCTGGTTGAGCCTAACAGATTAAATAAGTAAATCATGTGTTACATGGCTCTTTTGTTAAAACATGAGGAAAGAGTCTAAAATCCTTTTTCACCCTACCATTTCTACACCACAGCGGCACATAGTAACAAAACGAGACCGATTTGCTTGTTGGGTTGTTAGTTGGTGTTCATTCTCAAGTAGAGACTCCGGCATATGTGTTACAAAGCCATATCCCTGGAGTTCATTAATTACATCCCTAAATCCTCTATCAAGTATGAAAATGTCACCTTCGGAAAAATGATATTAAAGAAGCTTACTCATTACGTAAGTTTAAACTTGTAATTGTAGCATCATTAGTAGTCGCCTTGTATGGTCCGAGACAATCTACAATATGACCATCACAACACACTATCATAAATGGTTTGATCAAATTATCCAGTTTTTGCAAACTGTATGTTTGTTTTTGAAATAAGTAATTAGTACTACTTTGGATAAATACATAAGTAGCATCACATATAACTATTGCTGGTTTAAAATTAGGTGGCAAATCAGGATTACCAAATAATCCTTCTGGTATTATTCTATTTCTAGAAGCAACATCTTCAACAGTCATATGATTAAATCCTAAATACAGTGGAACAAACTCATTAATTAAACACGTTCTGGCCTTATTCATTAAGCGTTCTAAGGTGGCACGAGATTTATTAAAAAGAGTTGTCAATGTTACATTACTATCACCAGTTCTAAGACTTACTAAGTAAATGCTTAAAGCAATCGTGGCATTTGGTACTTGTCCTGCTAGACTTGGGATACAGTTTAACAAAGCATAGAACTGATCCTAGTTCATACCTAACCAAAAGTGACACAAATATTTAGGCATAATTAAAATATTTGAGAAATCTATATGGTAATAGGTATTTCGCTGCATTATTCTCATAATTGAGTTGAATTGACTATCAGTAAAATCTTTTAGCTGGAAGTTAATTTGCTCCAATAGCCATGATCCAGGTGGTGACGACGGATTTGTGCTGCTGGTGGCACATAGAATTTATTATTAATAACAGATCATTTATATATGAGGGTACTAGTAAACATTCTGTTTCAAAACAATTGACAAATATACAGTGATTGGATGTGCTAGCAGCACGCTTATATACAGAAGACCTAATTATTGGGGCGGCTCAGGAATATTGAGATTGCTACTTGGACCAACACCAGGCAAAATAGCTTCTGACAGACTAGGGCGATTGGAGTCATGCTGATCACGACGTTGCACTTCTTTTGTAGCTGATCTTCAGCAAGCAGCATATACTCTTTCCAATCTTTAGATCTAAAATAACACAATTAAACATGTAATATGAAACATTACACAACGGGACAACACAATGGGACAACGGGATATAAACTTTATAAAAGTGTGTAATGTAATGTGATGTAAATGTTAGGCATACATTTTTTTACAAGATAGGGTGACAAAGGAGCACAAAGTCCACCTGATGGTAATTAGTATTTGCTGTGGCTCATAGACATCTACACCTATTCTCCATTAGAAATCAAAATGCAGATGCATTTTCACCACTGAGGACTACGATGGAGTGCCTTGTTCCCAGTAAAAAGGGTCTCTGGTCCTTTACACTCACTATACAAAACACATTAGCAGCAATAAGCTGTTATTTCACTATGGTATTCTGTGAAAGTATGGTACTTACCCAGTCGAGCCTACCCATTCATGCTACTAATATAGTTGCACCATAGCTCTCCATGTATGATAATGATCAGGCAGTAATTGTGTTAAAATAGATAATATTATCTAATGTCCACAATGTTATTTATTTGTGAAACCTTCACTTATTGGGACTTAATATTATAAACACATCTAATTACAGTATTATAACTAAAAGCTATAAAAGACTGGAGAAAATAAGAACATTTAATTTTTTTTATATTGCAACATAAATAAAAATATTTACCGGATGCAGTCTTACAGGTTATGTTCTAGTTGCACGTAGAATAGAATTGCCACAAGTAGAATATATACTTCTATGACCAATAGCAGGCAATCCTTCACTAATTGTGATTGCTTGATCTTGAAGCAGTGTCAAACACTCTGTACAAAGCATACATTCTGAAGACAACTGCAATAAAAACCATAAATTAAAAAGTGTATTTTTAACCTTTTTGACATTATCTGTCTTCTCTAACATATTCACAGAACTTATATCTATATGAAATCAAGAGTAAAGCCTTTTTGGCCTTAAACAGGTTCGTTTTTTGTTATTCATTTGTTTCTATAAAAATGTTTTGCAAAAAGGTACGATGGTAGAGATCTGACATTCTTAGGTATATTTTCAAAGAGTAAAATAAGATCAACTTACCTGAGTCGGAGTTATCCACGACTGTAACAAGTTAATCATTGTCAAGATCAAGTAGATGCTTGTTCCAATGAACGTGTAGGTGTAGATAGGTTTCTGGGTATCAAAAATGAACAACGTTTGCCGGGTGGGTTGGAGTTAGAATCGTTTGGCAGGAATTCGGGGGAGTAAGGTGTTTTTTTGGTAGAGGTTTGGTCCTCGATTATAATAATACCACTCACATTAGAAGGTAATGCACCGTTATCGAAAAAATAAATAAAAACTATTATAATTTATAACCTAAAATAAGTAAAGTATGGAAAATGATACATTTTTTATTATTAACTGACTTTACGGCTCTGGGTACTAGCCCTTCTGAGAAAAAATTATACGATATTACTGTGAAAGCTGGATAGCATACAGAACTTTGTACCTGCGGCGGGAGCAAAGGCAACCTGACTGTAGATATCTGATCTGATCGAATCTGTACTAAAATTAAATCAGCACGCCCCGAATCCACGTAGGCTTATCTGCCCTACTTCTAAAGTGTTTTTGTAAAGCCGAAGGTGCGGAGGGAGTGCAGGCCCCGCCCGTCGTAGCAAATCGCAGGCACCTGCGCGAGCCGTAGTGAGGTTATTATTGTATTATATATTATGTTTATAATTTAAAGTAATTATAAAAGCTAATATTTTGGTGTTTTGTTGAGTGCAAGAGCGAGCGAAGCGAGCTCGGGACTTAGGGCACCCCGACTCGGACAGGTTAGGTTAGAAGGGGATGGCGGGGTCGAGTGAGCGAGCGAAGCGAGCGAATAGACCCCGCCATTCCCTTCGTGGTTATTTTTTTGTAAACCACTCGCTACGTGGTGCTTCCCTCCTCCAACTCTCTACCCTATAAATCAGGTTTATAGTCAAAAACATTACAAAAACATAACCTCAAAATTAGATTTTTAAAAATTTATAAAAAAACTAAGCATGTGCGGTATGATGTGGAAGTCCCACCTCCCACTCTCTTAATTCATTTTGAGTTATGATTTTGAGGTTAGTTCTACGGGATTTTCTTTTTCTCAAGAACAGTGCATTACCTTTTAAAGGGAGTGGTATTATTATAATCGGGGACAAAACCTCTACCAAATAAAACACCTTACTCCCACAAATTTCTGCCGGTGACTGACGGTGTCAATCGGTCGACTCCACGACTCGACATATTTGCACAATTGAATACACAGAAAAAAGTTCACAAAATACTAACAAGTTCTACTTCTCAACAAACAATTCAATAACTAACTAATCTGAACTCTCAAAAACACAGACAGTTGCACAGAACACTATTACTCCTTGAAATAATACTAGTTTTTACGGAATTTATCGCGTATATTTAACTTTTTAAATACTATTACTCCTTTGACAACAAACCCAACTGACCTCCGAAAGGAGTCCTTTCGTTGGTCAGATGGGTTTGTTAGAAAAATATTAGATGCACTATAAACTTATTATAAATTTTAGTACCCGGTTGACCGAGCTTTGTTCGGTATTTTTCGCTCGGTTTTTTTAATTCGTGTGTTTTGGAAATTATATTAAGATACGAATTACATACTGATGAAATACGAATAATATTTTTTGATCGTAGCGACATAATAGAAAAAACTGAACTGGTTATGTGAATAAAAAATCATGAGTGCAATTAGTTTAATTTAAATGTTCGTGTTTTTAAAAAAAATAATAAAAAAGGGCACGAAAAAATAGATTTTCTCAAAAAAGAAAGGAACTTGAAAAAAATATTAAAAAAAGTCGGTCGGTCGGTCTGAGTTCGAAACCATGGTATTACGATTTTGTGACCGCCCAATATACCAATTAAGCTACATATTGGTAATCTTTAATAAACTGTCAAAATGTACCTTCTTATCAACTTATTCTAACGATATTGTAGCAGTTTTTTATTGCCTAAAAACACGGACAAAAGGACATTTTCTAAAAATAAATACTAGCTAGATCGATTTATTGCCCCCGAAACTCCCTGCACACAAAATTTTATGAAAATCGTTGGAGCCGTTTCCGAGATTCCGATTATATATATATATATATATATATATATATATATATATATATATATATATATATATATAAAAAAAAAAAAAAAATATATAAATCTTTTTGACAGCCACTGCCGTTGAAATCACAATTGCTCTACCTGGAAGTCGCAATCCGTGGCAAAATATATTATAAGCCTTAAGCGCAAGACGCGTAGGTATGTTCTATGTTCTGCTAGTGCCTAACAATCAAGACTCCAACGTTTTGTCGCATGAAATCGTATCTAAAAATCATATAGAACATATAAATGATATAAAATCACATTGTCAGAAAGTTAAATGATTGTTGAAG